TGACAAGCTTCAAAGAATAGTTTTAAACATTTCAGATTGAAACTAAAAATGTCTCCACATATTAAATGATTTTATATTAAAACATAAGAAAAAGTATAAAAGCATAACATTTAAAAAAAATGATCCAAAAACAAGTTCAAACGTGGTGACTAAAATGCTAAGTACCAACATGCATCAGATTATCTTATATATAGATAAAACTATACTTATTCCTAAAGGAGGCAAAGCATCTTGATTAGTGAAGCTCTAGGGTTTGTAGTGACAGTTCAGGAAAGCATGATTACACTTATCATCAAAGACTGTTCTCTCATTATATACATGCAATAACTTTTTTAGAAGCAGACAAAGTCAAGTGGATAATGAGACAACTGAGCATATAACTGGAGATGTACTACTTTGGCTGCTGTAGACTATAACGAGTTAAATAACGTTACTAGAATTGTACATGAACAAGTAACTTTCAAATAGGAGTTTAAAAATATATTATTATAAGATATACTCCAAACAGATGCAAGATGATATAATAGGGCAGCACCATGTTTATAAACTCAAAGAATATAGTCCCCAAATCCAGGTATTCTGTTGAGCTGAGGAATCTAACAACAGAGGTTATCAATATCATTCTTGTTATTGTATGTTAAGAAGGTGACAGGAAAAATATATATTCACATACATACACATAGTGTGGTAAAGTAGTAGAAATGGGCAAAGATTCAAGTATTTAAGTTCAGTATCTTGATTATCTAAAACTGAAAGTATACTATAATCTATTTTAAAGAACACTGAATGTTATAAACTAGCAAAGATTCAAAAGGAAGTACTTGTTTGTACTTGTCATATAATCAGAAGAGCTTTATCTCAACAAATGACTATATTATGATTTCTTGAGGAAGTAATCTTAGAAACAAACAATAAGAAAAATCAACATAAATGGGTCTTTATGTGTTTTAATAGATTTACAGGCTAAAGATGCTAGACAAATTACTTTAAAAAGAAATCTGAATACTTGAGAAACAATTTCCTTATTAGGGTATTGATAAAATACAAGAAGTTGTCATGAGAGTAAAATGTAGTGCTGCAATTTCAGCCTTAGAATATGAAATAGAACATTCACCAAATGCCAAGTTTTCAGCACGGATCCTACACAATAATTCTCTCTTTATTCAAAATTTCTTAGTGCTCAAGGTTCTAAAAATCTCCATTTCTGTTTTCAACAAAATTATGCCAGGTATAATTAGATTTGGACAAAACTACCTGTGAGCATTGTATTCTCCAAAGTAGGGAACTCTACAATAAGGGGGATTTCAAAACACATCTACAGGCCCTTTAAGTAGATGAGAAAATCTCTCTTTTACCCCTAACTGCTAAGTGTCGCTGAATTTGTCCACAGAAACTAAGAAATGAAGGAAGGAAAAAAGTGAAATAAAAAGTATTTAATGAGAAAATAAATTGTGAAAAAAATTTAGCTGTGACAGTATTATTTTCGATAAAACCAGTGATTCGGAACACATTAATTTCTTCAATCAGTTAAACTGAGATGTAATGAGAAAAACATCCCCCAAAAAATACAAGTTAGCAGTGTATTCTTAACTTTATATAATGGCAAGAAAAATGCTTTAAACTTATGAATTATCAATGATATGTCTGCTGTTGGTAAGCAGTACTGCAGGCCTTCAGTGCAACAGATGTTTTTGGCAGTGAAATGTAACCAAGAAAAGTGAGAATGTTGTTAAGAAACAATGTGTTTCTGCCTACTGCAGGGTCTTATAAAACAGAAATAAAGGCTTATCTGATGCTTCCTCTATCAGAAAAATAGAAATAATCCCTTCTGCTAATGCTTTAGTACTTTATTATAAGGAAGCCCCCGAACATTACATTAACACAAGGGCAGGGCAGGGGGTGGGGGAAGCCCAGTGCCGACAACCAAATCAGAAGCTTGTTCATAAAGGCGATGAAATGATTTCAGCATAATGAGAAAGCAGCACAAACAAGTACGGGCATGTATCTTTTTACTATCACCTATAGGTAAGTGGTCACTATCAGCTGACAATTAAGGAAATCAGACATATCCTCATAGACACATTCTTTTATCAAAGCATGAGTCAAATATTATGACAGTCTTTTAGAAATTTTGATGTCGTTAGCAGTTCCCTGTATCCCATCCCTCTTTGCAGAAGATGGTTATAAACCTCAGGTAAACCTGTTCATTCCTTCTGCAATATTGTACAATAAAAATCGAATCTGAAATCCAGAGCTCCCATTCATTACTTTTCTCTGGTTTCCCTAATCCTTAGCCCTAGTTCCCCTATATATCTAGCATCTGATTACATCTCCCTTATATAAAAAGGAAGTGAGAACCTGATCTAAGGAACTTCCACTGAGGGAACAAATAGTGAATAAACATTCCAAGCTTTTCCCATAAGATTCGCTCAAAACACAAGAGTTTACTATGCCTTACCTTGTTACATAATAATTTACCATACAAGTACCTTTTCTTCCCAAATGTACCATAAACACATATAAGGCAGTTTGATTCCAAGAAACTCTAAGTCTTCCAGAAAAGAACAGGGCTATTAAAGTCATAATCTGATTTTTTTATAGACCCAGGAAAAAGCAGCTTTCATTCTTGGGATGACAAAAGCTGGAAAGCTTTCTTAAGAGGATGGGACTAGAAGAAAACATATGACCTAAACTAGGGTCAGATCAGTATTGAGGATCAGCTGCTACATAACAAAAGGCTAGCAAATAATCTTCTCAGAAAAAGTATTTTAAAAATTATATGTGTTTCAAGTTCAACATAATCTACTTACTATTAAGTAAACCAAGATGAAAAGCTGGTGGTGGCAGTTGCTTCTATAATCACTTCTAGTCTCAGAAAGGGAAACCAACAGTTTTCTCCCCCAATTATGCAAGATTAATTTAGATAAAGAGCTGTGCTTTTTCCTTAGTTTGCCATAAATTAATTTTACACAACATCATAAATTAAGAAGGGAATGAATAACAATACCTGTTCTCTATCTCTCAGATGTGTTTGTGAAAAGAAAATGACAAAAGCATTGATGCTCAATTAGGGAAATTGCATCAGAATCTCCAGAGGAAAGACTAGAAGAGGTCTTTATGTATATAATTTGTTGGAAGTAGATGAACCACTAACTCCAAATAATCTGTCCAAAAGAGGACAAATAGCAGCTGTATTCCAGCAAAACTGGAGGAAGAGACATAGATCTGAAAGGTAGTTTTAAGGATGCTGGTACCACTCAGGGAAGAAGGAGAAATTGAAGAGCAAATGACACCACTGTACACTCATATATAGCTCAAGAAGACAGAACACAGAGGCCAGAATGAACACTAATTTTAAGATATACACTCGCTGCAAACTAAGAAAATGAATCCTGTTTAATATATATTTTATTATGTAATGTGTACTCATTTTTATTCTTAAATAGTGTCACTCAAAACCTCCATAAATTCTCATTACCTGAATCTCTCCCAAACTACTAGTAATTTTGAATAAATTTCTCGAAAGTGCTAAAAGTGATCTGTAGTAGGGAAAATAAGACTTGTTCACAGTAAAAACAAATGTTTTATTTACAATCTACTCAGTCAGTCATAGTAAGCTGAAAAAGATTAAGACGAAATATGGAATTTTAAAAATCCCTACAAAATAATAAATCGAGTGCTCTTCCCTAATATAAATTATGTGTTCTTCCCTTATGTACATTCTTCTTGGACACATGGGCTTTAAACTGTTTTTCTAAGAGTAGTAATACCTCCACACTCATGTACAGTACACAGCTGATCAACAATAACACATTTGTGAACTGGTTGAGAATGGGTGTGCAATTTGTATTCAAGCCAATCCGAGTGAAACTAATAGCCTGTCTGAAAAGTGAACCCATAACCTTTGTCTCATTAGCACTGCACTCCAGCTGTTAAAGATTCAAACACTAACTTGGATTTAAAGGCGGGTAGGGGGGTAGTGAAAAACTAACAACAGGGAGAAAATTTATATAGTCAAGTCTATGCAAAATTTTCTATTAATGAAAACCAGCTGCAAGAATAAGAGATGCAGTTCTCAGTATTTGAGCCTGGTGAGAATACTAATAGGGTTTTTTTCCCATTCCAAGTTTCCATTCTGAAAGGAAGGTCCTTTAATTCATTACTCACTCAGAATTACCTTTCTGAAATAACTGCTCTAGGTCCCAAATTATCTATGCATTAGGAGATATCTGCTGTGGCTATGAAGAGCCATTCAAAGCCACTCCTTACATGAGAGGTCATGCAGCCCCCAAAAAGAATATTGTGATAGAAATTCTGTTTTAAGTATGAGACCCAGATCTCTAGCAAAGCCTAAATGAAGTTGTGAAATTTAGACTTCACACTCAATATCAAAGATATATGCCATTTACAAAACACTGTGAAAAAATATTCACCACTGGTTGTTTCCACCATAATTCTATTCCAATGGCCACAACTTAATTCTATCATTTGGTAATTATTTTTTCCCTAGCTTGGGTTAATTAATCTATCACACAGTTCATAAATCAATTTAAAAACTGTTTGCATTTAACAATTTTAATACTTAATATATACCATCACCGGCTTCCAACACCAATAACAAAAAAAGCTATATATATGCATGTATGGGCTTTGTTTTCCTGACATGACTACAAGCTCTTCCAGTATAGATCTTATCATAATACTTGATTTGTGCAGAAACTGCTCCTAGGAAATCTAGGCAGTGGCTTTTACTATAATGAAGAAAATTATTCACATAAACTTTTAAAACTAGAAATAGATAAATACCCATTTCTTATGCCAGTATAACTCAAAAATCCTAGAGTTAGGTACAAGAGAATACATAATCCCTAGAATCCGAAAATTTCTATAAAAGATACGTCTGGAACCCCAGACAAGATGTAAGAATATCTGTATCAAATTACCATCAACTCAAAACCATTATAAAAACTGGTTTTAAAATGAAAAAGCGAGAAACAAACCTCAATTTTGTCTGTTTTGGCATCTCCCCAGTATATTTTGCCTTCATCATAATCCAAGGCTAAACCATTTGGCCAACCAAGAGAAGTGTTAACCAACACTACTCGGTCAGAACCATCCAGAGCTGCTCGCTCAATTTTCGGGATTTCTCCCCAGTCAGTCCAATACATGTACCTATAGAAGTATACAGAAAATGAGCTAAAAACAGATAATAAACTATAACTTTCAGATATTCTAAAATTGAGATCCACCCCTCATACTACACTGTTATAATCGATTAACACCACAGAAGGAGAAAAAAAACCAGGACTTAACCATAGCAAGAGTATGTTTAAGACATTTATAATAGCAGCATATAAGCTCATAAGAAATTTTCTGATTAAACAGTGTTTTCTAGAACTGATCATGAAAATGACTTCTAAGAATGAGAATTCCATTTTTAGTTACATTTTTTCAAAATATTTTGGGTTCTTTCCCCTGAATGATCCTCTCTTTTGTCATCTGGCTTGTCATCCAACCCAAAAAGGTTATCCCAGTGGTAGTATTCAGATAACAAACTGATTTTCCAAAATAACTCACTCTTCCTGTGGTGCTAAGTGATTCTTGTGGCTCCTGGGAGTTTAAGTGGCTCTAAGGCATTGCATACACTGAAGTGTAAGGATTTGTCACTATGTTCATCCTCAGAATGAATCTCATAGTAACAAATAACATCGGTGAGTATGTGGAAAGCTGTGTTTCCCTGAACTGCAGTCAGGGTGTTATGGCTAAAAAAAAAAAAAGGAAAAAAAAAAAGGAAAAAAAGACCAGGCATAAAGCTGCACATCCTGACAAAGTTTTGGAAATCAAGTCATTCATATATTTGGAAATATATAAAGATATATTTTTTACCATATCATTATAGAAGTACTGCAAATGGGACAAAATTCTTTTATGGGAAGAGAAAGAGTTCTGAAAACAATTTCTTTCCACATTTTTCATGGTCATGATGCAACCTCGGCAAAATCTGCAGCCAACACCCAAAGTCAGCAAGCATTGACTTTTAATTTAGAAAGAAAAAGTATTCAAAACATTCAAGGAAAAAACTAGCAATTCTTTAACGAGATTTTATTCCAATCACTATTTCTAAAAACGGACAACCATTAAAGAGCTATTTACTGGAAACCAACACATGATTGATACTGTTTTTTGTCAATATTTTTAGGGACCTGTAGAAAACAGAAACACCAGGCAAAACTTTCTATCAGCAGAGCTTCTTACCCAACCATGGGATCTAACACAATAGCCCGGGGTTCCTCTAAGTCCTCTGAAATCAAGATCTTCCTCATGGTGCCATTGAGCCTTGTCACTTCTATCCGATCAGTGCCAGTGTCTGTCCAATAAAGATTTCGGGCAACCCAGTCAACAGCAATACCATCAGGATGCGCAATTTGAGCAGTGACCACAAACTGACTGCCAGATCCATCTATGAATGAGCGGCGTATGGCCCTCACTTCATCGTCAGTCCAGTAGATATAGCCTTCCACAGGGTCATAATCTATCGCAATGGCATGACGGATGTCTTCTAACTGTAGAACAATGTCTGTGAAGTCTGGTGTATCCAAAGAAATGCGTCTCAAGTCTGTCCTTCGGGCTAAAAGCAACAATTCAGTGGCACCTAGGACAACAAAGTGAAAAATATGGGTGAAAAAAAAAGAAATGAAACCGACAGGCAAAATTTAGCCACTCTAAATAAAGAATGCAGAACTTCAGGAATTGAAAAGTAAATGAGTACAAAAGGATATTAGGGTCTATTTAAGATGGAAATGGAAAGTAATGCAGTGAAATAGGAATTTAATTATGAGGTGAAGCTCTGTAATGGCAGAGCTCTCCCAACCAAGTTTTGATTCACTCTCTGGTTTCATTCATTATATAGGCCTGGAATTAAAACAGCTACTTAAAGGTATAATGAATAATAAGTAATGATTAGGAAGCTAAGTAGCTAAATATTAAAGGAAGAAAGAGACATAATATAGATCTTTTGTTCAAAAAGTATGCTTAAAAAGGTAAGGAAATCTAGGACAACGACCTTTTGTGACTGATGAGAATGTTCTAAAATTGGTTCATGATGGTTGCACATTTATAAATTTATAAAAATCACCGACTTGTACATTTGAAATGGCTGCATTTTATGGTATATAAATTATATCTCAGTAAAGCTGTTTTCACAAAGAGATCTATAAGACAATGCCTGACAGAATTAGGGCAAAAGAGGCTATGGAGAAGGCTAGCAGCAGTAGGAAGAAGGAATCAGATAAATCTAACACAGTGGTTAAGAGTAAGAGTTGTGGATCTGCTAGAACTGGATTCAAGTAGCTATGTAAACCTAGGCAAAATACCTAGTTTCAAGTAGCTATGTAAACCTAGGCAAAATACCTAGTAAGCCTAGTTTCTTCATCTGGATCTTATTAGGGTTACTGTGAGGATTAAAGGAGATAAATGTAAAACTCAGGAATGTACTACACATAAAAGTACTCAATAAATATTAGCTAATAAATTATTATCATTAGAAAATATTTTCAAATTTTTATTTCACTACGCTTGCTTTAAATCAGATTCATGAAATATTTTAAACACAAATTAGTATTCAATAAAAACACAGCTGAGAATGAGGATATTAAGCTCAATCTTTTTTTGTTTTGATTTTTAATGTTCAAGTAAATCACTAGCAAAAATACATCTAACTACAAAAGCTAATAAAAGATAGTAAGCAAGTTGACATCTGAAAGAGTGAAAAGATTCCTAACCAAAGAAATGAGTCCAAAAGAAAATACTGGCATTAAACTTCAAGCTTCAATCTGGAATTACAGTTGAAAAAATTGAGAACAGTAAAACTTTCAACATCAGTTTTTTGAATGTAGGACTAATTACAAATGAACTTTATCTTGGAGAAAATACAGTCCTAAATGCCACAGCAGGCACCAAAGAGTAATAACTTTGTAAAATTCATTGCCTCTGCTAACTACCAAAAGGAGCCAGCCCAAAACTTTGCAAACAAAGACGTTATAGAAAGTGAAGCTGTTAATTTGAGCAAAGTGATCAAAACAGAATAGTTAACTTAAGGCTAGTACATGCCAAATAAATATCTGAAATTCAAAACACTTGTTAAACATGTACATTTGCACACTGTGACGGAATAGACAGACCATTATTACTAAAACAAATCCTCTGTTTTAAAGTCAAGCTACATTTTTAAACAAAAAAGCGACATTACAAAAACCTTTTGTTTTAAATTGAAACCAAATTATTGTTTGCCATGGAAACCGTCTGACAAGAGTCAGCCAGCTTCACCTTTGACTATGAGGATAATTTATCAATGCCAAGTCATGACAAATATCCTGTACACTGGCTCAATTCCATCTCTCTGACTCTCTGACCTCCTTGCCAGGAACTCTAACCCAATCCGAAATAAAGGCTTCTGCTTTTTAGAGTTAGATAAAGAAGCCACTGCTAAATATAACAATTTCTTACCAGGTCTTGCTGGTGGCTAGAGAACCAGATGGTGATCCATAGGGATAAGAATGAAGAATAACATTCTCATTAAGAAGAAAAAGAGAAGAACTGGTGTTCTCCCAAACCAGAAGTCCCTTGAAATGTCCTAATCAGTATACTTCTCCAACATGCCCTTTCTCTACAGGGAATTAAGAAAGTAAGGAGAAGAGGCAATGTAGGTGTTAAGTATAGAAAGAGGTTGCTTTAGACAGTACAATATGGAATTTTTTCTTCTTCTGAAAGCACTTCTCTGTTGTTAAAAGGCAATTAAAAATACTATTCAAACATTTTTAGAAAATATACCCCATGATAATCTTTATAGTTAAACATTTAATAAACCTCTTTTCCTTGCAGAGGTTCTTTATGTACAAGTGCTACCTACTGTTAAAAATGTATTCTTTAGGAGAATACTCATTTCCATAGGAAACGAATATAATATCTGTTAGATGTGATAGAGAAAAGAGCACCCCCTAATATTTTCCAAAAACACTGTGTTAAAAATTTTAAATATTAATTTATAAAATACTATATAAGGCCATAAAACATTCCTGTTATATAACCAAATGTGAACACTAAGATTAAGTGACTAGTCTCCTAAAGCGCTGTAACATATAGAGCTTATTAAAGAGAAATAAAATAAATCATAAAGAATCCCAATTGCTATCTAAAATTTTTCCTTTTTAGAGACCATCTTCTTACCATCTTTGCAGGTTTTTCCATTCTCCAGGAGTTTGACCCCAGTCGGGCAAGCACATTGATAAAAAGGCTTGACTGGAGACATCAAACACAAGTGGGAACAACCACCATTATCAATTCCACATGGATTTGTAGCTGTCAAATATAAATCACAATGATTAATACCAATGATTACAGATGACCTCCCTCACTCTAGGTACACAAAGGTTAACAACCATAACATAAGCAACTGTGATAAACCAAATTATTACCAAATGTCATCCAGGTGCTTGACTACCAGACCATCTGCAAGGAAGGGAATTAATCAGTGAGAATTTACTTAGCATTTTGTACCCAAGAGGAATACACAAGAAACAAAGCAGGAGGCCTCTGCCCTGAAAGAGCTTATAATCTAGTCAGTACAAACAATAAAACTGGAAAACAATACAAAACAATTAAACTAAATGCTATTTTGCACATTATAGACTGCAAATAAATATAGAGTCAAAAGGGAAATAAATCACTAGGCATTTAAACACTGAAAAAAACAAAGCTTCATGGAGGAGACAGGACATGACCAGAAACTTAAAGGATAGAAAAAATATGTAAGAGGACATTTCAAGTGTAGTGAAACCATATGAACATAAGCTTGGAGGCTATACACTGGGAGATAATAAGGTGACTAGTCTAACTAAGGTGACTAATAAGAACTTAATGTGAATGAAAACAGACTGTGGCTGAGGGCACTGAAAGTCAAGAAAAGTAATTCCAGTGACCAAAAGTCACACTTTGAAAAGATTAACATGAAAAAGATAAGGATATAGATTAAACAAGAGAAAACTGAGAAGCAGAGATTAATTAGCAAATTTGTAGAAATTAAGGAAAGGGATTCATTTAATATTCATAGAAAAAAATCAACATAATTATCAATGAAAAATCAACAAAATATGAAAGATAAAAGGAAATAATATCATAGGTAACTACAAATTCTCAAACTAGTAAAACAAAGAATCAACAGTGCAATTTAGGAAAAAAACAAGTAAATTCTTTTCTGAGGGCTAACCACGAGAATAAAAAATTCATAGAAGTAACTAAACATTTTCTTTTTTTACAGAAGAGTAACACATACATTTAAAAACATTTTTATGGACTCATGATCATAAGATTCCAATAAAACAAATTCAACATCTAAAGATATGACCCGCTAAATGGAAGGAGCTAATACAAAGCAATGCATAATCCAAAAACCCTTTATTTTTGGCTATGGAACAGAATCAGAGACATGCCAAATATGTATTTACGCACAAGTGCCAAACACTTAACATTCTCATATTCTTTTTTAAACCTAATTCTAGTCTTCTTTTATAAGCCATTGTTATTCAGCAGTCACAGTCGAAGTCATTGTAAAGGCTGACCAAAAAATAGAAGCAAAACTAAGAAAAAAGGGGGCTAGAGAGTGTGCACAGAAAAGTTTAAGCAGGTACTTTATTCAGCAACCTGAAGTACTTAACTCCACCGGTTAGATTAATAGAAGATTCCATTCAAAAAAAGTGTGTGTTTTTAAATATACTCACATGAAACAAAATCAAACACATATTAGAGAGAAATAATATGAGCAAGAAATGCACTGTGTATAAGCTTAGCATATGAGCTAACTCAATTTCTTACTTTATTTCTCTCTTCTCTACTTCCATAACCCTAGACCCAAACAAGGAACTGAAGGGGTCTGTAGTAATAGATATCAAGCTACAAATGGTTTAGGTTGTTGTTTAACCTGAATTATATTTTGCTGTTTTTCCTATTTTCTATTTCTCCCCACTACCTCAAGATATGTCCTTCCTCCTTCTGCCTCTCAAGAACACCGGACATCATAGTGCCACAAAGCTATTCCAACTTGCAATTTAAAAATCAAGATCACTTACCATTTGGCTGCCTCTGTTGGCTGAAGGCATGTATATCCATGGGAGAGAAGATGTTAGAGTGGATTTCACGCAGACCCTCGCCAGTGTACTTGTTGCAAGCCAAAATGGAGTGTGTATTCCAATCAGTCCAGTACAATGTGTCCTCAAATAACGTCAAGGCAAAAGGATGTGGAAGGGAACCTTTAACCACTGCCTGCCTATTAACACAAAGAGAAAAACTCAAACATTTCTATATTTTCTTCTTTTATCAAAACTTCATCTCTCCCATTAAAATGGTCCTATAAGCCACATTAACACATACAAACCCTGAGTAACACGTATCTCAAAGTCAAATACAATTGCGAAAAATAAGACACAATGTAATTTCAAATATATTTCCCTGGTGTCCAAAATCTCCAAACCAAGCACTTCAGAATGGTCCCTAACTTGGCAGCAGGCCCCAGGTTCACTAGAAGCTTCCAGACAGAGAAGGCCGAAGTATTAGCACTGTGGTCAAGTTTCCATCTCTAGACTCACATCTTCCATCCTTCCACATAATTCATCTCGTTAGAAGGAGAAAAGTGGGCAAAAAGAAAAATCCTGGAGTTTACAGCTGGCACTGGGAAGTAGTTTTAAATCAGCAATAGGTTTTTCCCTTCTTGATGTGAAAGAACAAACATCTGAGCCTGTTTATTTCATCATTCCTTATGGTTTTGGTAACTGAAAGTAAAAACATACAGAAGGCTAAAAAAGGCGCTCTGGTAAGAGCTTTCTCTGCAAATCCCAGTCTAGCTCTAACAAAAGATCATCTCATCTGGCTTACTGCTACATGGTTACTTAACCTTCGCAAGTCATGTAGCAAAAAGGAAGTCCTACCACTGGCAGAATGTGTTCATGAGACAAAACAGATCCAAAAATTTCAAAAGCAAGCCATACTATATGAGAAAAAAGGTAGAATGCCTGATTAGTACTCAAGGCACAGAATCCTGAATGTCATGGAGAATTACATAATTAGAAATACTCTTGAATAATGAACAAAAAATGTTTTGAGCCAAAATAATATTCAAGAAAATAAATGCTTTGGCATTTTCATGATATCAAATATAATATTTTCATAAAGAGCCCAGCTGGGAGGGAGGAAAAGACAGAAGGAAGATGGGTGGGATGATTTAAGCAACTGAAGAGAAATAAAGAGTATCACATATTTTAGGGAAGATAATCCAATTTTAGGTCCTTGAGCTTATCTGATGATCTGTAATATCTAAGATACTGCCAGTAAAATAAACTCGAAATCAACAAAATATTTTTTTTCTAAGAATTCGCAGGTTATTGCGTATGAAATGATCCTAGGTGTTTTATATTTGGGCCAGACATTTAAAAATTGAATACAAGATTAGCATGACTAGTCTACCAAACAAACTTTCTGTTTTAGAACCTCATACCTATTTTGCCAGCCCACATCACCAATTTTCTCCTCTCATTTTTCTTAATTTTCTCCTCTCTAGCAGATTACTTTTCTCTCTTATTTCCCCAAAAGAACTGTCATGACATCTACTGAAGTAGTTTCTGCCACATTTTAAATAAAAAGCTTTATTAAGTTCACTAAAGTGATTAAGGTATATATAGGAGTGATATCACAGTTTAAGTCCAAATTTAAATAGATCTGCATATTTCACAATGTCTTCCAAAATTCATTATGGTAGGACACAAAGAGAGAGTTCTGAGAAGTTGCCAAGAAAGACAACACAACTGAAAAATAAAGAATACCGAAAACTAAATTACTTAGCACTTCATTAATAATCTTAAAGAACTGCGTATCAGATCTTTGAAAAACTTTGGTGAGAAAAAAGCCTTTTAAGTCCTTTGTATATTATTAAGTAAAAAGTTAAAATTTACTCTAATGAACTAAATACCATAGAATAAACAAATAGGAAAAACAAAATCCCTCCCTAAAAGACATACTCATTTTATATACTGATTAAAAACATTTATATAAGAAATCAAACAGAGCTGAGTTCAAATGTCCCTGACACTTACTACTTATATTATTTCTGCAAGCTTTGTTTTCCTCATTTGTAAATGAAAATAATCTAACCTCACTGATTTATTGTGAAGATTAAATGATAATATATGTAAAAGCATTTAGCATTATGCTTGATACTTAATAAACTCATTTCAAAAATGAGTCCTCAATTTCAGGACATGTTTTCAATATTTTAACATTTCTGATATAGGGATAACATTTTACATCTAAAGTGAACATTTCATTTGGTAGTTTTTAAATCACTAAAAAGTTCTTAAAAACAGCCTATTAGAATGAAGTAAATACTAGACTCTGGCCTATTTATATTCCCCAGGATCTCATACAACACTATGTGCACAAATTAGGTGGACATTAGACACTCAGGGAATGCATGATAAAAAACTTAATTTTCTTAAATACAGTATGTAATTAACAGAGCTGAATAAAAAGCAGAGCTAAGGAGGCTGTTACTCATTCTTGTCAAATTCTTTGGTCATTTACTAATTTGTTCAGCCAATAGAGACTTGTTCCTGAAAGTAAAGATAACTGGACATAGTCTTCACCTTTCTTCTCTCTGGCTAAGATTACGAAGAAGGTATCCCCCTGGAAATGCAAGTTACTTCAAGGAGTTGATCATGGGTAGTGAAAACAACAGTGGCAGGCACAATCAAAGTGCAGTTCTTTGGTAGTGTGCCACAAAAAGAGTTAAAAAATGGATCTCTACTAGGGAGACCAACATCTATTGTGAATGATTACCACAACAGGTTCAGCAAACCACCATCATCTCATATAAATAACAATTTAAAGGAAAAAAAATTTTTCTCCTTGTGATGAAAACTCTTAGGATTAACTCTCAACAACTGTCCCATATATCACACAGCAGTGCTATGTTATAAGAGCTAGGAAGGTAAACAAGGACGGGTCAGTGACGCACCAGCTCAGTCTAATTAGGACATCTTTCAGTCTCGAACCCTGGAGAAATTCTTCAAGGTTTCTGGAATGTGGTTGTTATCTTTGCCTATGTCTCTAGCACTGATATAAAATTCCCCTATGTTTATAGTACACGGCTTCAATAACCATTAACTTGATAATAACTATACATCTATATCTTCCTCTGAGACTGCTCTGCTAAGCTCTCTAGACTTTATCACCATAGTTTTCCGTAAACAACTCAAGCACAAACATGTCCAAAGCTGAACTCAACCTCATTCTCTTCCTATGTAAAAAAAAGAAAGAAGTAACGAAAGGAACATTTTATCACAATAAAGAGTTTGTACTTTATCCTGAAAACAATGACAATTCATTGGGAGATTTAAGGAACTGAAATAATTAGTCTTTAAATCCTTTTCTACACAACTACCAAAATGGCATTTCTAAAAAACAAATCCAGCCATGTCAATTTACTACTTGAAATGACTTCTAATACTTTTCAGGAGAAAATTCAAATGACCTAACTTAGAATATTAGACCTTACATGATGTGGCTCCTTCCTATCCATCTCTCTAGACTTGCCTCCAACCATTTCACCACACTTCCTATTTCTACTGAATGACACTGATAAAAATGAAGTGTTTTTTAATAACCGTAACTTGAAAACCTGACTCTAGTAATTAGGAATTTAAATTTTCCAGAGAGGGTTTTTATAGTCACCTTAGTTTTTAAAGTTTATTATTTCCACAGTGTTTGTCAAGTCAGGTTAAAAGAGCATATTTACATCCCAGATACCTATGTTCAAGCCAATCATCCATATATATGTGAACCTGTTTCTGAACACTATTCTGTTCTGTTGATCTCTAACTATCCTCAGATTTAATACTTCCTTGTTTTAATTATTCTAGCTTTATGGTATGTCTTGAAATCAAGTGGAAAGCTGTCATACTTTTTTAAATTATATAAAATCAATTAAGCTATTTTAATAGGTCCTAGGCATTTCTACATAAATTTAGATTCAATTTATTTAAAAAAAAAAAAAAAGCACACTTACACACCCACATTAAAAGCCTTTGGGATTTTTTGTTGAGACTGTGTTGAATCTACAGACCAATTCAAGAAGAATTACCATCTTAACAACATATTGATAATTTTTTTTTCTTAAAAGATAAATAATACAGTCTTCCCCTGCTGTATAGAGAAGAAAGAACTCGGCATTTTATCTCAGAAAGCACATAAGAGTCTTAAAAGTATTGTACTTTCTGCTGGGACAGTGTTTAGGAGGTATTATTAATTCATGTTAGGAAATACATATAAGAACCTTGAGTTATCTGTGTCCAAAAACAATTGACACACTTAAAAACTATTATCCGCAGCTTATACGAAGTCTGTTTTGAATGATATACAAATATAAAATAATTAAGTATATACTATAAATATCTGTTGTTTTTTTTCTAAGGAAGAAGGGGAGGAATGAATCTTTGAAGTTCTTCATGGGAATTGTATAGCTTATCTGGGTATTTCAGTTAACAAAAAAAGACTAAGAATCAGCAATTATATAGCTTTTCCCAGAACTGAATGGTAAGACTCTTTTTCACTTTTGTGTGAGATCTCTTTGGAGAATTTAACAGATCTAAGGTTATGGATATTGTACTCAAGGGCCTACTGGTGATCAATTAGCTTACTCCTTCCAAGATCAGTTTGCATCCTTAAACTGAATGCCTTTCAGCAAATGCACTGGTGTTCATCTCAAAAGGAATTCAAAAAATGTGAAAGTTTAAGGACAAATCCTTTATCACTGGAAGAGCAGCTAAAAGCTCATGCCTTGCTGACAACTGACCGAAAGCATCATAATCATAAAGAATAGCACACAATTATTATTCTATAATAAATAATACGATTTGACACACATCTACTAAACACCTAGTAAGTGCCTAAGTACTGTGCTCTTCTTCTACATGCTCTTATCAAAAGCAAAAACTAAACTAGCTTAAAGGAAGATCATTTAAGAGAGACAGAGTTTATACCTTACCTGGTTACTCTAAGATCTATCCTTATTTTAGATTCAAGATTTCCATCTTGAACATTAGCGTAATCATTTGTAAAATTACCTTTACTGAAATATGCTCCCAATTTTAAACAAAGCCAACCATGGAAAAGTAATATGAAATTAACACACAACAACAACAAAAAAAAATTCAAATAATACCCATTATAGCCCTTATGGATTCTACATTAAAATTTCTTCTCGAATTTAGTATGATG